TCAAACAAAATCCTAATTTTTCAGGTTGACCGAGCTAATGCACATACGTACTCAAAAGGAACCAGATCACGACACCAACCTCATTTATGACAAAAGTTTTCTGGTTTTGTAATCCGTATGAACAGCAAATACTCAAACGCCTACAAACTTGTAAACAGAGTTGCTGTCTTTACTGGAGGAGATTTAAACGACCAAGATGTGAATTACTTTAGAGGACCAGCACAATTAGACGATCATTATTCAGAGGATGATCGTGTGTAGAGCTGCCATAAACGAAGTTGGTGCCGTGATCTCGTTCCTTTCAAGCGCGTATGTGCATTGGCACAGTCAACCTGAAAAAATGCAGATTTTTGTTTGAATTGAATGCTTAGAAATGAAACTAATAAATGCTTAGAAATGAGACAGTTGTTGTTTAATTTCATTGTTTATTTCTAATATAAATTGAATTGTAAGCTTGGCAAACCGTTTTGGAGAATTTTACATTTTCCCGTTTAGACAAAATGCCTGAGCACACTGGCCGAAAGGCATTTCAAAGATGGCCACTAAGTGAAATAACTTGCCTTAAAGGGACTTTGAATAAGTCATTTCACTTGGCGGCCATCTTTGAAACTTCTCTTGGGCAGTATGTTCAAATGAGGTTAAATTCTCCAAAATTGCTTGCCAACCTTACCATTAAATTTCATTTTAGGAATCAACAATAAAATTAAATCAACAACTGTGTCTTTAGTTTCATTTTTAAACATTTGAATCACACAATATCTGCAGAAACTCACGGCTGGTCTGAGCCCCTCCCCTGGAGAATCCTCAGTCTATAGGATCAACGATTGGCTCTTTTACTAGTAGTAGGCGGGGCTTTATTCACCATATTGTCATTACACTTTTTCCCCCATTCAAAACTATTCGAGTGACACGTCTTGTGTATTCTACAGTCTTTGCTAAAGGTAGGAGCGGTTCTTACCACACAGTTATTATAGAAAGCATCGGTTTGATATCAACAGAAGGCGTCTTTAAATGCGGAAGCAAATGGTCAAACTTTCATTGAAGGTTATAAAAAAAAAAAACTTTTTTCAATGGATTAATGATTAACTTACACATTTCCTTTCACCTTTAGAATAGCAATGTGAGCAAGCAAAACAGTGTAAATTTTTAATTTCATGCAGACTTTAAAGGGATAGTTCACCAAAAAAAAAAAGAAAGTTTCCTCACCATTTACTCAATCTCAAGTGGTTATTTTTTCTGCTGAACACATAACTAGATAATTTGATTAATGTTGGGAAATGCAGCCATTGAAATCCACAAATAAAATACAACTAATGCAGAAATCACTTTAAAAAACAATTAAAATCCCAGAAATTCATATCAAAATATTCTAATTAGACCTCCAGATCATGTTTTATACCTCAAAAATGATTCATTTCTCACTGCTGATTTCTGTTTCTCATGAATAACTGCATAATGCTTTCCATAAATCTCATTCATCTTAAATGGCAGGCAGTTGTTTGGCTGGCTGGCTGGCTGGCATGAATACTTTTGAATGGCCGTCAATGGAGAAAAATGCTTTTAAATCACCAGTAGGGCTAATGGGGTCAAGCTAACCAGCTAAACCTTTATCATCATATAACATCTCCTATCACGACCGTACTGGCCCTTTTATAGTCAGTTTCAAACATACAGTACATAAACTCAGTAATGTTAACCGAGAACAGCAGCAAATGCAGTTCTTCAAATGTGTCTGAAGACACTCGAATGTCAAGTAAACGCTCATTTGCCAAAGTCTATAATATTAACATAGAAAAATGTTCAAATTACAGCGCATCCAACATTTAGAGATGAAGAAAAATCCTAAAATATGCGACAGGAATGCTAAAAGCAGTTTATTAAAACAAGGCTCCGTTCCAAAAACTAGTGAGCTGCCTATTTAGGCCACATTTCTGACATAACAGCCAGTTTCAAACACATAAATGTCACATAATGCTAAACGCTATTGAAACCAACTTTGAGATTCCCTTTTGTTTAATGCCTGAGCTCTATATGTGTGACATATGGCCCTGCTGCCAACATAGGGGACTGCTTATTAGTAACTTAAGCCACTTTTCTACTGTGCAGTACAACTCAGTTTAGTTTTGCTCAGCTCAGTTTGCATTTCCACTACGGTTTAGTACCACTTAAAGTGGGGGGGGATTATTACTATAGATGCCCTGCCTCTACTGCTGTGACATCATAGTTTTCATCCCAATGTCCGATATGCAGAAGATCTAGACCAGGAGTGTCCAAACTCGGTCCTGGAGGGCCGGTGTCCTGCAGATTTTAGCTCCAACTTGCCACAAGACACCTACATGGATGTTTCTAGAAAGCCTAGTAGGAGCTTGATTACCTAGCCCAGGTGTGTCTGATTGGGGTTGAAACTAAACTACGCAGGACATCGGCCCTCCAGGATTGACTTTGGACACCCCTGATCTAGACCTCTTATATTGACTATTTTGCTGCAGTTTCAGTTGTTGGAGGAATAAAATGGTGCCAACAAACAATACAGCATTACGCCATTATAATTAATCATGTAATATACAAAATTTATTGTCAATTTCACTCCGGCCCTAGCCTTCCCATCCAATCCTATGTCTGGACTCTGATTCCCATACAATGAATCACTGGTTTGATTCCAGCTCAGTGGTGGTTGGGTGCAGTAGGACCGGATGGTTACATGTGGAGGCTTTTCCGCAATGAGAGTGAGGTTTATGGGGGTGACTGTAGCGTAGGCCAGCTAGTGAAGTGCTATGCAGGCAAATCTCACTCTTCTGACCTCGAAAGGTGCTCTAGTGACAGACGCTAGAGGCCATGGTTTTAGCCTCCTTGTTAGAGAAACCGGTTCCCATACAAAAAAAAATCGCCAGTTGAATCCCAGCTCAGAGCGGGTTGGGTGCAAGAAAATGATACTGTAATATGCAAGTGACTTGAAAGCATTCAGGTCAAACCTTACGACAGACACTAGGGACCATAGTCTTTAGTCTCTTTGTTAGAGCAACCGATTCCCATACAAAGAATCGCCGATCCTAGCTCAGAACGGGTTGGTTGCAGTAGGACTGGTGGGTTACATGTGCGGGCTCAGGTTTAGAGGGATGAATGTAACGAAGACCAGCCAACGAATTGCTATGCAGATAAACCTCACTCCTCTGACCTCAAAGTGCTCTAGTGACAGATGCTAGCCATGATCTTTAGCCTACTTGTTAAGAGAAACCGACTCCCAAAAAAAAAAAAAAAAAAAAAAAAAAAAAAATCACTGGTTTGATCCCAGCTCAGAATGGGTTGGCTGCAGTAGGACTGGTGGGTTACATGTGGGCTCATACGGGATGGGAGTGAGGTTTAGGGGATTGAATGTAGCAGAGGCTAGCTAGCAAAGTGCTATGCAGGTAAACCTCACTCCTCTGACCTCTAAAGGTGCTCTAGTAATAGATGCTAGAGGCCATGGTGTTCAGCCTTCTTGTTAGAGAAATGGGCTTCCATACAAAGAATTGCTGGTTCAATCCCAGTTTAGAGCAGGATGGGTGCAGTTAGACCGGTGGGTTACAATATAAAATATTCACACAGCATATCTTGAAGAAAATGTAACTGTGATATGCAAAGACTCGGAAAGCATTGAGGCCAAACCTTACAACAGACACTAGAGGCCATGGACCTAAGCCTTCTTGTTAGAACAACCGATTCCCATAAAAAGAATCGCAGATCCCAGCTTAGAGTGGGTTGGGTGCAGTAGGACTGGTGGGTTACACGTGGGGGCTCGTCCGGGATAGGAGGCAGGTTTAGGGGGGTGAATGTAACGAAGGCCAGATAACGAAGTGCTATGCAGGTAAACCTAACTCCTCTGAACTTAAAGTGCTCTAGTGACAGATGCTAGAAGCCATAGTCTTTAGCCTACTTGTTAAGAGAAACTGACTCACAAACAAAGAACCGCCGGTTTGATACCAGCTCAGAATGGGTTGGCTGCAATAGGACCGGTGGGTTACATGTGGGCTCGTACAGGATGAGAGTGAGGTTTAGGGGATTAAGTGTAGCGGTGGCCAGCTAGAGAAGTGCTATGCAGGTAAACCTCACTCCTCTGACCTCTAAAGGTGCTCTAGTGATAGATGCTAGAGGCCATGGTGTTCAGCCTTCTTGTTAGAGAAATGGGCTTCCATACAAAGAATTGCTGGTTCAATCCCAGTTTAGAGCAGGTTAGGTGCAGTTGGATCAGTGGGTTACAATATAAAATGTCATGAAATATTTACACGGCATGTCTTGAAGAAAATGTAACTGTGATATGCAAAGGACTCGAAACCATTGAGGCCAAACCTTACAACAGACACTAGAGGCCATAGTCTTTAGCCTTCTTGTTAGAACAACCGATTCCCATAAAAAGAAGCACCGATCCCAGCTCAAAGTGGGTTGGGTGCTGTAGGACTGGTGGGTTACACGTGGGGACTCGTCCGGGATAGGAGGGAGGTTTAAGGGGGTGAATGTAACGAAGGCCAGCTAACAAAGTGCTTTGCAGGTAAACCTCGCTCCTCTGACCTCAAAAGGTGCTCTAGTTACAGATGCTAGAAGCCATGGTCTTTAGCCTTCTTGTTAGAGAAACCGACTCACAAAGAATCGACAGTTCGATCCCAGCTCAGAGCAGGTTGGGTGCAGTATGACCAGTGGGTTACAATACGAAAAGTTGTGAAATATTCACATAGTATGTCTCGAAGGAAATGTAACTGTGATATGCAAAGGATTCGAAAGCATTGAGGTCGGAAGTGAGACATTTCATTTTGTTCTGACTGTATCTGAAATGCAGAAACGAAAAAAAGAAATCACATAATAGGTACTGAACCCAAAAGTGAGGTGTATCAAACTTAACTGCACCATAGCATGCAGTGGAAATGCACCTTTAGTAGACAGCAAGGCAGCTCAGTGGGTTTTAGAACAGAGCCGTTAAGTCTAAAAAGTTAACAAAGCCACATATCATGGTTATTATACATAGGGGATCACTCCAAGTCTAAAAAACTGACCAATTGGCAAAACATGATGCTACCAGTATCAACAAAATGTCTTCAATTTTCACACAAAGAGATCGATAAAACGTCATTTGAAAGCACTTTGGATAAAAGCATCTGCCAAATGCATAACTGTAGGTTTTTCTGTGCAATAGTTCATCACTTGTATCACTAGTTTTCAGAATTTCTGAAATAATACAGTAAACAAAATGTTCCAGTAGTCTAGATCTATAAAACGGTCTATGTTCAAGTGTGTTTGGACACGTGTGACTTTTGGAAGAATCAGGAATAAAGTAACCTCACTTTTCACTAAAATCAAAAGTAATCAAATCAAATTATTAAAAGTTTCAGAATTAATCTTAAAGGGACGGGGGTGTGCTCTATAAAGTGGCTATTTGAGGGATTTGACAGCTTTGGTCAGGTTGTTGTAAAACTCCACCATACTAGTGGGGAAAAATGAATCTACAACCGAACGAGGAAGCAATCCTCCGAGGTCAGTCTGGAAAAAGCTGAACAGCTGCGTTTTGCTCGGATCCCTATAAAGACAAACAATGGTGTACTTCAACATTTTATGCTATGGATGAAAAAAAAAGTCAAAATCTCACCATCTGCTGACTCATATAAGAATTACATTAATCAAAAATGTAGGAACTTTTACCCAGGAACTGGAACACACATGCAGCCACATGGATGGTTGAAGCCTCTGACGAAGCCGTTCTGAGGAGGACAGTCTGGATGGCTTACATTGGTAGCTATAAAACAATAAAAAATGTGATATAAAAGCAATTAAGATTAGTTATCAGGTCTTATATTTATTTTATAGTGATTTTATTTGATAGAATTAACTGCTCTTGATAACAAGGTACTTAATATTGCCATATTTTTAGTAATCACTAGATCTGTGGTGATGATGAGTAATTTTTGCTATGTTATATATTGTCTCAGAAATGATTGCGGTAAGTGATGTTATTGTCTAAATCAGGGGTGTCAAACTCAATTCCTGGAGGGCCGAAGCCCTGCACAGTTTAGTTCCAACCCTGCTCCAACACACTTACCTGTAGGTTTCAAACAAGCCTGAAGGACTCAATTAGTTTGATCAGGTGTGTTTAATTAGGGTTGGAACTAAACTGTGCAGAGCTGCGGCCCTTTTGGAACTGAGTTTGACACCTGTGGTCTAAATATTGACAATGTTTAAAATTGACCGCAATACCTAGTTTAACCACAAGGTAGGTCAATCCTACATAGTGCACCTTTAAACAAAAGATTAAAGAAGGAAGACCATAAACACGCATACCATTTGATGACACCGTGCCGTCCTCATACCGCTTTATGGAAATAACATCGACAAAATCACGAGGTGATATAATACCCATGGCAGCTGAGGGGGTGACAGTTCGGCAGATCAAAACGTCCTGCGAAATGACAGAACAGATTTAGAAATGTACACCTACTGCATTATGTAGGTACATCTCAATTTAACTCAATTATAGCATCTCAATTATAACTATTAAAGGGAAATTAACTTCACCCGAAGCTGAAAATGCTGTCAATATTTTCAAACCTGTCTGAGTTTCTTTTTATTTTATTTTATTTTGAATTATTTTAATTAATTAATTTATCTTTTTAACTTTTTTAAAATTTGTTTTTCTAAAATTCAAACACAATGACTGACAACTTTGGTCGAACAAAACAATTAACAACAATTAACAATAAAAGATACACTGCTACGTGTGGCGTTCACTCCTGCCCGTAGTTATTATTTTCAATTGATCTTGTTTTTTTTTTTTTTCCTTTTCAGTTTTCTGTTGGTTGATTTGGTGACGTCAGGCTTTTAAAACGGACGGAAACGGACTTCTCATTCTCAGTCATTCCTGGCCGTGGTTGATTTATGTTACATTGTCTTAGGACCACGAGGCGTATTCAAGTATGGGCCGTAACATACAATATACACAATAACTGAATAATAATTAAAATAAAATAATAAAAAAATAAATATAATAAACAAATAATCGAATAAGTAAACAAATAATTAAAAAAAAAAAAAAATAAATAAATAAATAAATAAAAACAAAATACTGACCTTTTTAATCTAAATTAGTCTAATCCTCTTCAATTTAACTATTTTGTGTAGATTTTATGCTTTTAAAGTAATCTATGAACGGTTGCCAGATTTTACAGAATTTGTCTTCTTTCTGTTTTAGGGCGAATCTGATTTTCTACAGTTCAGAATAATTATTTTAATCCCTCATCTGATATAAACAGCGGGGAAAACAAAGTATTGAACACATCATGCTTTCCCTGGGAATAATGTTTCTAAAAGAGCTGTTTACATGGGTTTGTTACCAAAATCTGCTTCAATTCCAAGCAATACAAACATAAAAATAAAACAAAACAAAAAACTTTGAAAAATTAGTTTTATGTGTGATGACAATAGAATAACACCAGGAGAAAGCGCTGGAGTACTGAAATGTATTGAATGCTTATTATAAAAGGCTTTTTGGTGACGTCAGCTTAAAGACCCCTCTCAAATAAAGAATGAAGTCACATGCATTGCTCAGGTGTGAGTTTTTCTGTGGGTCTCCTCTATCAAATCTGATTTTTATCTTGTGTTTTCTATTGGATTCAGATCAGGTGATTGGCTGGGCCATTCTACCGTTTGTTTTTCGGTTTTCCTTTTGCATTTGAGAGTTTCCTTGGCTGTGTTTTGAATCATTGTCTTGCTGAAATGTCCACTCTGGTTTTATATTTGTCATCCTGCTAATGTACATGCTGGACTGAAGCAGCTGATATTAATTTACACTGAGAAAGGGGAAGAGAGTTGCTGAAGAACTACTGAGAGATTCCAGCCTCTGTCTGGGCTTTTACTGCCTTTCTACACCTCCCTTTCTTCATGTGTTCAATAGTTTATCCCTGCATCACTTCATTTTATAACAAAACTTTATTTGTAAACTACTAAGTTTAGTTTTCTTCGCATATATGGATTTTATAACGGATCTTATAATCTAAAAATGTGAGCAAAATCATCTGTTTTGTCATCACGTAGACACAAAAATACTTCACATAATACAAGAGAATCATTCAAATACTGGATCTAAAGCAGGGCTATACAATTAATTTGTCATGGCGGCCAGTTCATGAAAAGCATCCCAAACGAAGGGCAGTGGAGATATGACTTGCTATATGAGTGATGACACAACAGCATATTAGAGTCCATATGCTGTATTTTTGCTCCTTAAGACACCCACGTCGGCTTTTTCTACATTAAAATGTGAATATATTGTATTTTGAAACTACATAAAAGTCAGTGCATTGCTGCAGTAGGCTTTTTCTACATTCAGACACATTTATATGTTATGTTTTGAACTGTATAACAATTATGGATGCACCAATGATAGATTTTGGTTGTACGATTATATAGTCTGAAGAATAATCATGGTTTCACTGTTATCACGTCTAATGTAAATTCAAGCTTTATATTAGGTAAGTAGCTATTTAGATTAACTGTTGCTGCCATCTGCAATCATACATACAGTCCATAATCATTTTAATAAGATTTTGTCGAACATATTTTTGTTTACATTGCACTGAAAGGCACGCACGACTCTCCCTGTTAGATGTCACTCCGCTTGTGCACGCATATTGTCACATATTCTAACATTAGAAATAACAAACTTGCAAGCCGAAAAGACGTGATAAGGGAACGGCCGCTGATGTAGTTAATCCGTGTGCATGCGTATTAGCCTCATTGTACTTGGTGAACTTTAAAGTAGCGCAAAGTTAGCAACTTGACATAACTTTGTTAAACTGCAGCAGTTTCGTTTCGTTCTGTGTGGCTTAAAGAAGCCTATGCGATTAATTAACTGTGACGAATTGAAGCGCAGTTAATAGTGAAATCGGCAAATAGTTTCATCCCTTTTAACGATATCAGTGCATTGTACAGAAGTCCTTTTCTACAAACACATCCAAATGTTTTTCGGCTGCTTGTGCCACTCGCTTATGGCGTCTCACGCTCTGTGCGGCTTTCAACTGCAGCTCGAGCTATATTGAACAGACCTACTTCACTTTATACCTATAGCGGCCATTTTTTGACTGAACTAAATTTATTTTTGATGTCTTGGTCAGATCAATTGAATAGCCCTGCTCTAAAGTGACGTTTGTAAAGTAGCAACGGCTTCTGATGTTTTGACTTCAGCTGCAGATGTGAATGAATGGCGAAAGAAAGTAGTTTCTCATACATTGTGATATGGCTGTACTGCTCATATATATATATATATATATATATATATATATATATATATATATATATATATATATATATATATATATATATATATATATATATATATATATATATATATATATATATATATATATATATATATATATATATATATATATATATATATATATATATATATATATATATATATATATATA